CTCCAAGGCAGGGTGGCACATGGCAGACAGCAAAAGCAGCAAAGGACCTTAACAGTGACGTTCTGCGCTTTTTACCTTCCTTCTGGGCAGCTGGGATTAGGGCAGCGTAAAGCCTGGCGGTGCACTGATCGCACTCCCGACTTCCAGCGTCACGCACTCGGGCCTCAGCAGCCTCGGCAAAGCCCGCTGCCCCACGACTCATGTGGCTTCGGGAGGACATCTGTACACAAGCCATCGCCAGCTTAACTTTCGATGGAGTGCTAGACTGCTAAGTTCTATATTTAAAATAATATATCCTAAATTAAAAATTCGACTGATAATACACAGAAAAATTAACGTAATATTCTCATGATCATATATGTGGGTCTGTATTTTTGTATTGTGTGTCTTCACGTTTTTGTGCCTCATACTGATGAAAGTGATGATGAAAGTAGTTAGTTTCTTTATATTCGAATCTGCTATAGTTGAGGGAGTGAAGAATATACTTTCCTTCTAGATTGGTTCCTTCTAGTTCACCTTGTAGCCCAGACTGGGCTCAAACTCTCAGTGATCCTCCTGCCTCAGCCTCCAGAATTCCGGAATTACAGGTATGGGTCACCAAGCCCTGGCTACTTCTTAACACTCTTAGCCTTAATGTTCTTTTGATTAGTCTACAAGGAAGATCAAGTTGGAATGTGAAGAAAACTACAAACGTGTGACAAATCCACACCTGTGTTTGTGAATATTCATTGATTTATACAATGCCTTCTAAAACGTATCTCTTACCTCATTCTGAAGGTCTCGGATCATTTTTGTCTTTCTTTCCACTTCAGTTTTTAAAAAGTTAATCTGAAAATGAAGAGAGTATTATGTGGATCCATTTACATTTATTTTCACATCTTTCATTTTTTATTTTAAGTTATAGTGAAATGACTATCCTTTTACAATCAAACAACAAAAAAAAAAACAGAAAAAGAATTTTAAAATGTCATTAACTAAAACTTTCATTATTGAATTCAAACATACATTCACCAATAATGTAAAGTTATTCTTCCTTAGAAATAAGTGTGTTAACACTCTTAGCCTTAATGTTCTTTTGATTAGTTTTAATCATTTTTAAATTCTTTTTTAGAAAAAGAAATCACACATTATTTCATTGTAATTGAGAAATCATCCATATGATGAAGTAATTCTTTAAGTTGACTAAATCCCATGGTTTTGTTTTAATGATTATTTAAAAAA